GGGCAGCCAGCTGCAGCTGGTGGCCACCACTCATGCTACCAGCTGCAGCAATGCACTTCGGCCATACATACCGCTTCCGCCAACCAATTCCAAGTACAGCTTCTCAGATCCAGACAAATGGGGGAAAAGAGAATTGATGCTTCAGTTTCTGAAAGCCAAGTCGTAGTCTGGGCCCTTCCTTTCTCTAAAGTGTTTTCCCACAAACAGGTGGCTTTCCTGATCTGTCGGGGTGGACGGTGTCTTCAGCCCACGTCTGCGGCGGGTCTGTCATTTTCTCCCATCTTCACTAGGATTAGTAAAGAAACCACCACTTCTCTTCGGGATTTCCAACTTTCCTTGAGGTGAAATGTTACATTCTGAACATTTATTATGTCAGTTCGCGTGGTGCTGGTCTTCCATATGCATCAAGTTGCTGAACCACTAAACCCGACGTTAATGAACCAAACCAGGCAAAGGAAATAACGAAAGCCATGCATCGAAGGTGAGAGTGAAAAACGACAGCTCGGAAAATGAAGAGATGGTCCTTTTGAATCCACAAAATTTGTCAACAGCAAAAGACTAAAGATCACAGGGGAAAAAGGGTGTTTGTTTGTTTTTTTTAATGGAGAAGGAGAGGGTACAATACTTCAGGCCACACCTTGAGAGACGTCCAAAGATGCTACAACATGAATTCACAAAAGTTTCCACATTAAACTGTATTTGAGTGCAGCCAAAGTTCTAGGCCCGTGGAATTTATAATACTTTTCATGAAGTTAAAAATGCTATCATTTTTAATGTTCTACCTAAATTTGCCTACAAATTAGATGCTAATTTATATGTCTTCACAGAGTACAGGATAATCCTGAGTCTCACCACCTTTTCCAACTTTCACAATTAGAAGAGTATCTCGAAAGGTGAGCTTTCCAATTATTTTTCCCAGTTAAATGATGTTTCTATCTTTATTTTCCATTCTCTCTTAGGGATTCCAACTTTTATTCTCCTGCTTGAGAATGCCAAGCGCTTTGATTTCCCATGAGATGCTTTTAGAAACTACTTTCTTATCCAGATCTTATAATCTGTAATTTTCCACATTCTTAAGTAAAACAAAGAACTATTCCTAACACGTTTTCAAATTCCTCGAGGGGGTGGGGAATAAAAGATAGTGGGAGTAGAGAGGTGATTAGTCTACAGGCTCCAAGTAGAACTTCCTGAAAAAGTAAAAATGAGCCTGAGGAGAGTAGATCTGTGCTATTTCTAGGCACACTTGCGAATTTGGGTCTTTGTACAAACAAAACTTTAGTTCTAAGATATTAAAGTGTGCACCCTCAAGTAAATATAAATGCACTTCAACCATAAAGCCTGCCGTGTTCAGAGGTCAAGTTAAAAAAAATCTTATAAAGTCTTCGGAATAAGTGCTGAAAAGCCAAGCAATTGAACATGAACCTGTTACATAGATCCTTCTCTTTTGCTGAGGCAGAGGGAGAAAAATAAGAATTTCAAAAGAAATCTTCAAACCTGTTGCGCTGTCGGGCCCTCTGGAATCCACGGGGGTGAAAGAAATTCAATTATGCTTTTATAGGTCCTGCTCAAAAAAGGTTTCAACTGCTTAACCAAGTACAGCTCATTCTTCCACCTTCTCACTCTGCAACCAGACCAAGGGCCCCACACTGCAGGTAGGTGCCGAGAAATTCCGCAGCCTGAAAAAGTAATCCATGCAGGTCAAAGGCAAACATTTACTCCAGGCTTAGAGCTACTGTTCCCAAGAACTCTAAAAAGCACTTATAGAGGATCCAAAATCATTTCTGAAATCTCCTTTCTAACAAATGTTCTTTTTCTCCCCGAACAACATATAAAATGATCAAATCTTGAGAGAGAAAAGGAGCAAAGTAGCAAATACATCAGCAACAATTCACTACCAGGAACACAGAAAATCCCAGAGGGAGAAAGCAGTATCTCTGAATCACGGATGGGCTTGGAAAGTTCGGAAAGATTCGAGTGCTTCCCTTCCAGAAAGACAATTCTGGATCAACTCCCTAGAGGAGGAAGCCTGTGGTTTGTAATTGGTGTTCTAGCTCTGACTCCCTCCCCTGGGACTGCAATCACGCTCTCTACCTGCTGACACAAAGTGAGGGTGGAGCAGCTAGAGGCAACCCGCCCCTCCTCCTGGCTGGCTGGCTGGAGGGCAAGGGCTTGAGTGCGCGCACACTTACGGAGCCGGGCACGTTCTTTTGCTCTCTGCTCTCTCGGCTCCTCTACGCCCTCTATGGAGCCACAGCCAAACTGCATCCAGTTCAATGCTCTAACTTTGTCCTGGTAAGCAAGCTACCACATGTAAATCAAGTCCACTCACACATACATCTAAGCAGCTTCTGCAACCAGGAGAACATAAATGGTCATATGAAGAAATAAAGAGAATAAAATAGTGAAAACCCAGAACATGAAAGAGCAGACACAAGACTATGCAAGTAACAAGTTCAAAGGGGTTTCGTTTCTGCTCTTTTCGGGTTTTAGTGTCTAGAAAGGGCACAAGGCCAGGATGAAGTGATCCAGTGCTGTAGTCCTTATTGCTGTCTCATGTCTGCTACACCAGCAAGAACCCTGTCCATTTTACACATAGTTTTGCTTCAGCTTTTACGTATTTAAATTCAGCAGCTCTTTTCTAAACTGTGTCTGTATGGAGCTTTTTAGATCAGGCTGGTATCAGAGGTCTGGTACCTCTTACTTACTTCTCACGTCACTGGAGAGTGAAATAATACTGTGGATCACACCCATGCCCTCAATGTAAGATTGTGAGGAAGTCTGCCATCAACACAAGCAAAGGGGTAAAATATGTATGCTTCATAAGAAGTGTGTAGGCAAAAAGAAAACCAATTCTTGGCTAATTACCACAACCATGAACTCTACCCCTTTTAGTTACCTTGTCATGAGAATGCAAAAGTTTCTAATATATGTGTCTAAAATTTGAATTTTCAAATTTGCCAGATTATATTGGACTGTGTCCAGACATTTTATTTTTAACCTATTGCCAACAATCTCTCCAAACTGTACAAAAGTACAATGTGAACATGGTTAACATATTGAAGTGCACACTTAGATTGCTTTTACACTGAAATTTTAGTTGTGGTAAGAAGCACAGAAGACTAAAAATGTTTTAGTTGTACAAATGAGAGTATATAAATTGATCATCTGTAAAATGTGGCTAGCAATAATTGCACTGTAGGTTGGTTATAAAACTTTGAGCTGACATAATGCCTCTAGAGCAAAAAAGTATGAGTGCTTTCTTTACCTTGAACATTTTTTCCCTAAAAAAGGTTTATGCGAATAATTTTGGCATTTTTGGCCTAATAATTGACATAGAGCTGAGAAATAAGCTCTAAAATAAATTCTTAATTTAGCACGTTCTCTTTATTGGTTGGACCTTAAGAACACAATGTAACCATAGACCTTTATAGCTCTTTTCAAACAAATTTTTTAAAAACTTCTATGGTTTTATATTTTTTATTTTATGTATATTGTGTAATAGTAGAGCATAAATAATGCAAAATATACATTACTGTATATTTAATAGATGCAAAAACATCTCCTACCAATGGACTTTGCCTCACCTGTTCCTGCTTGAAACTTGCAAAGGAGTTAAGAGACATAAACAAACCTAAGAGTTAATATACACACTTAGTTAAAAGAAGGAAAATAAAAATAGATGTGGTTTCCCTCTCTCGAGGAAACTGCATGATCTAGGAATGATGCTAATATGTATTGTGAACCTGGGTATCCTGTGAGATACTCAGGATCAAACCAAATAGCCCTATGTAGTTTATTGCACTGATATATTGTGTTTACTAGGTCACCAGAATTGACAAGCAAGAGAAATTATTCTCTGGCTTATCCCTCAGGGGTTGATATACCACAACTTCCACAGAGATGTCATAAAGATGTCATTACTGTGGTAATGAAATGCCCATCTCACTGACATCAACCACCTAATCTTACCCATGAGAAAGATCATCCTTCAGGATCTATTTCCACATCTGGATTGTCTAAAGTTACTGAAGACTATTCATTCTTTTCCTTAAAAAAAAAACAGGTTTTTTTATAAACATGTCCAAGAATTGTCCATATCCCTAATGGCATCTGAAAGATTCATTCGCTGTTCAATTGCAAATGGGAAAAAAAAAAAAAACAAACAAACCCTGACACTTTTTATTTAAAGTCAGATTCTTTGAAAAACAGAATACATTCTTTTTTAAATTTTGCTAAGATGACTGAGGTTTCTACTGATCACCAATAAAACAGTAAAAACAAGCAAGACAAATCCAGTTGAAATACTCACTTTATTGTTGACTGATTGAAATTTATCGTGCTTAAGGTGCTGAAATACTGAGGTCCTCGTCAGAAACCTTGTTCATATGTGTCAGACCCTACTGGCTAATTCATACAAAGATTTTATTTTATCTTTTGCCATTTTCCCCAAGTCAGTGATGATAGCTTTAGTTGATAGGTAGCAGGCATGTGAGCAGAGCAGGAGATCCAGCTCCTTGGTCTGTTGTATTAGTATATAAAAAAGTTTGGGAAGCTGATAAAGGTATTTCATTAATTAAGCTTTAAACCACTGAAACCAAATCCATGCCAAGGTTTCTGCTTGACACATGTTCCTCAAAAGATATTATTTCTTTCAACATACACAAAGCTAAAAAGGCATATTAAGGGAAAGAATGTCTCCTATACAGTTTATCAGCTTCTCAACATGACAGAGAAAAGGCAAAGTTCCTTCATTTGGAAATTGGGTCTCCTCTTCACATACTCTGCCAAAATACATAGTCAGGCCAAAAGATGGAGGAGTCTTGATAATTTGTTCATCTTTTAAACCTTGCTAATAAAGATGAGTAAATGCCCATCACATGGACATCAACTAGTCTAATCAGATGGACCAAACAGGTCACTTTTCAGAATCTACTTTCATATCTAAACTGAGTCACTGCTTACCAATACAGAACTCATCCTTTTTGGAAAAACTATCTCTGTAACATTTCTATGGTTTGACGTCATTGAGAAGGTGCAATGCAATTTAAGAAATGAATTGTTACACCCACGAAGAGTAGCATAGTATTTATGTCATATCACTAAGTGCCTTTTCTTTTTAATTAGTTTCATATTCCTAGGCTTTCCTTTTGTTCCTGCAATTCTTATTAGGACAACTGAAACAGAATCCAATAAGGAAGTTCTAGCCAGTTTAAAAAGACTTTAAAATCAGAAAATTTCTTGCTGTCATTGGATGAGCAAGTGAGGGATCAACCACAGAAAGTGGACACCCAAGATACCTCTCCTAAAAACCGGTCCCACAGTCCTACTATTTGAATTTAGAATCCTACAGAGGGGATAAAATAAAAATGTTATGGTCTATCCCACTATCTAAAATTCTCTCAGAAGCTTAAACCAGACATAAAGTATTAAGAATGTCAGAGGTATACAGTTTCTGTTAAATGACTACTAATCAGTTTTTCCCAAAATTTGCATGCAATATCTCATATAGATGAGAATTTATATGTACTTAATATAAAAAGCTAATGCAAAAAAACAGTGTTAAATCTCTTACTGTTTTTGTTCACACATTTCCCCTTCAAATTAAATATCTTACACATGCATCCTTTATCCTTCTATCCTGCAATATTAATAAAAATACAAAGCTTTAAAACTTTTAAATCTACCAGCATTTATAAATATAATAAACAAATACTTTTCTTTAGAAGACACTTAAATAAGTGATATACAACAAAACCTTCTTACCATTTATGATAATGTATCATTAAAATTAAAGAAAGATATGAAAATAGAAGAATGCTCCCATTAATATAAAAGAATCAGGGGCTGTTAAGTGTGATGGATGGTCCAAGTCGGGATGCCTTGCTTTTGAAACAGAATGCTGGGTTAGGAAGTAAGAGCATTTCCTGGTTAATCACTTAGAAAATTAGCTCTTTCTCAGAGTGTCTTCCCTGGAATTCCTGACCCATTTAGACCTGTGATCTTGGTGACCTCACATGCCTTTGTTTCTCACACAATCTTCTCTAGAAGGATCACACTGTGACTTGAAACAGATAGACTGAGCTCCCCACTGGCGTTGTGCTGACTACAGTTTGAGAGCGGCAAGATAGCAAAGCAGCACACACACAGATGATTCTCCAGCACACAGATGCGGCAGCTTTTAGATGCTTCTGGACTGTAATAGAAGGCCAGGACTTTTCATTTGAAAGGGATCTGGGCAGCAAAAAGAAAAAAAAAAAAAAGGCTGCTTGATGTTTAGTAGTTTGTCAAGGTAAATAATCTGAAACAGCAGTAGTAAATACCAAAGTTCCAATTCTCAATTAACAAAATTCTCAATTAACAAAACAAAAATACTTTTTTTTTTCCTTAACAGAACTGAAAAAAATCCCAACAGTGTGTCATGTGCAAGGCTAGTCTGCCTCCAGCTACAGCTAGTGCACAATGTCACATTTATCATCCGTTCCTCACTCTTTTAATTCTTCCTCCTTTGGAAAGTGCTCCTGCTTGCAGGCCACATCCACCAGCAGATGAAGATCTAGAAAGAAAGAAGGTTTGTTTACTCACTCTTAGCCTCTTGGACTGTAGAGCTCAACAGGTAAGTCTTCAGACAAGAAGAACAAGTTGCTCATGTTTAAATGTAGAATTGGATCTAAAATTATACTATCTCATCAGATTCTCAGTTTTCGGTCATTCCTTATACCTCTAGAACACACAGACACAGCCCAGTTGTTAACCCAATGAGACCAACAAAGTGTACAGTTTATATCTTTTCAGTGATGTAGCTGCCTCTTTTCATTTCAACTGCCTTTTATTTTAAGTGAAAAATTAAGGAAAGGTGTCAAAGGGATCAAAGTGAAATATACACACACACAAATTCATTTCTTTGATATTATAACAATGAGTGGGTGGGTGGCTTGTGGGAATATGAAAAAGTCATGTCTTCAGAAATACAATGTTAAAATAAGTAATCACTATTTTTCCAAAGTTGATTGACTCCATAAAATTTCCACTTACTGACAACACAGCTGCTCTCTTGTAGAAAAACCCATCTGAACTCTCTATAAAAAAGAAACATACCCTTCATGGAAGAGACAAAGAGGGTTGGTTCACCAAGAATGGAAAGAACTAAGGGCGCCTAGGTGGCGCACTCTGTTAAGCATCCAACTTTTACTTTGGTTCAGGTTGTGATCTCTGGGTTGCTACCCCAGGGCCCAGCCTCTGGCTCTAAGCTCAGTGTAGTCTGCTTGGGTTTCTCTCTCTCTCTCCCGTTGCCCCATCCCTCCTAAAATAAATAAACAAATCTTTAAAAAAAAAAAAATGGAAAGAACTAAAAAGTGAACTCTTAGCTCAGGTAGTAGATTTTGTAAGACAAAAAACTAAGATCATGTATAGAAGTAGAGCTAAAGTACCTGAGTAACACAGGCAGAAGTAAAAAGACCCTAATGTGGCTTCTAGACTCAAGCTAATTAGTTTACAGCTTCTAGAGCAAGATACACACTTCTGGTTTATAACTTCTAGACCAGGGAATCCTTTTAGGTTTGTTTTGAAGCTTACAATATTGCTGTAGTAGCCTTTCGGAATTAAACTAAACTATACAGCATGAGTTCTTGATTTAATTCTAGACACAGACTTTTATCATTATATTTCTAGAACACAGCTTTTGTGGGATTGACCAACAGAGTAGGCAAGAGACCTAATTCGATAAAATAATTCTACTATCATATTTGAGAGAATCCAGAAAGCATAAGGAATAGTAACTACTTTTGCCATATTTTGTAAAAGGCAAACCAGTCACTAGGGGCAGGTAAACTCATCTGGTGAACAACACTACAACCTATCCAAAAAGAACAAGTGATCTGGGGCAACTGTTCACTTGTTGAACAGGTTAAGCATCTGCCTTTGGCTCAGGTTATGATCCCAGGGTCCTAGGATCGAGCCCCACATTGGGCTCCCTGCTCAGCAGGAAGTCTGCTGGTCCCTTTCTACTCCCCACCCCTGCTTTCTCTCACTGCCTTTCTCTTTCTCAAATAAATAAACAAAATTAAAAAAAAAAAAAAGAGCAAGCAATTTACCCAGATGAGCGTCTTATTTATCACTTAAAATTCAGTTCTTGTGCATCCATGATCATAACAACATTATTCACAATAACCAAAAGATGGAAGCAATCCAAGTGTCCAAGGACAGATGAGTGGATAAACAAAATGTGGTATATACATACAGTGGAGTATTAACCTTAAAAAATCAGGAAATTCTGACACATGCTAAAACACAGTTGAGTCTTGAAGATATTACGCTAATTCAAATAAGTCAGTCACAAAAAGATAAATACTGTGTAATTCCACTGTACGAGTACCCAGAGCAGTCAAATTTGTAGAGACAAAAAGTGGCATGGTGGCTGCCACAGGCTGTAGGCTATTATGGGAGTTACTGAATGGACACAGTTTCAGTTTAAGATGATGATAAAAGCTCTGGAGATGGATGGTGGTGATGGTAGTGCAACAATGGGAATGCGCTTCATGCCGCTGAAGTGTACAAAATGTTTAACATGCTAAATTTCATGTTATGTATACTTTACCATAAAACAGTGCTCCTTTTCAGTCTATATAACAATAAAAACCAGTCTCATATTTATATAACATCTTTTTTTCAAATAGTTAAAGTGCATTATTATCAGGTCACTTAATTGATCCTGAGGAGTAAACTGCTACCAGAAGCAAGAAACTCTACTCTAAGCCAAATGGTTAATAAGTAAAGCCAGTGTTTTCTCAACCTTGTGGCACACTGGAATTACCTGGGGATCTTCTAAAAAATACTGATGCCTATGGTTCCTACCGCAACATTCTGCTTTAATTGGTGTGGAGTGCTACCTAGGCATTACGATCTCTAAAAGCTGCCCCAAAGATGTAAGAATAATACCTAACGATGAACATTCTCTAAACACCTCAGCTCCATATCAGAAGAAGGACAGGCAAACATATCTAAGGTAAAGGCTAATAAAGCCACTGGGCACCTGGGTGGCAAGTCTTTAAGTGTCTGCCTTCAGCTCAGTTCATGATCTCAGGGTCCCGGGATCAAGCCCCTCATCAGGCTCCCTTCTTGGCAGAAAGCCTGCTTCTCCCTCTCCCTCTGTCTGCCTCTCTGCCTACTTGTGATCTCTCTCTCTGTGTCAAATAAATAAATTAAAAAAAAAAAAAAGGTTAGTAAAGCCACTACAGATTTCACATGGGGAGGCAGACTGAAGAACAGCAGCAAAAAAACCCTTTTTGTTTTTTTAAAGATTTTATCATATTGATAAGTTCAAATCATGGACAAGAACACATCACAGACAGGCATGCTTGAAAAAGCAATAGCCCAGGGGCACCTGGGCGGCTCAGTTAGTTAAGCATCTGCCTTCCACTCGGGTCATGATCCCAGGGTCCTGGGATTCAGCCCTGCATCAGGCTCTCTGCTCAGTGGGGAGCCTGCTTCTCCCTCTCCCTCTGCCTACTGCTCTGCTTACTTGTGCTCTATCTCTCACTGTCAAATATATAAGTAAAATCTTAAAAAAAAAAAACAAAAAACACAATAGGCTGGGTGGCTGTGTAGCAGCCTCAGAATGAGTTATGTAAATGAGTGTGTACAACAAACCCTCTTACCCTTCATGATTGGCTTTAAATTAGCATTTGGCACGTGGCTTCCAATAACAGGCATCAAAACATAGTAGTTTTATCAAAGTGAGCTTCCTTCATTAACAAAGCTGCTGGTTAAGGAGTTAAGAGTATAGAGACCAATAAAAATACAAAAAGACATAGACTAGCTGGGTGCTACTAGACGTTTATATGACTTCATTTAGAAAGAGAAGCTTGCATACTCATCCAAGAAGGTAAGTATTTGGGGATTACAGTAGCTCAGTTGGTTTGAGAGCTGAAAGGCCTTGAGGGAGAAGAGCATTGCATCTACTTGTTTGGGAGTGTTAATTCCTACTGTGAGCACCCTCTAGGGTTTGGGGATTATTGTCTTAATGAAGTCTCATCCATAATCCAACAGCTACAAAATAGGAAGTCCTTTCTTTAGGAATGAATAGAACTTTGCTTGTAAACATTCACTTTCCCTTAACCAGAAAGTAAATATCCCATCAAAACAGAAATGAGTATAGATTTTACCATAAGATTGATATTTGGGTATATCCAGTTTAGGGTGATAGCATTACAGAAATTGGAGGAGCATGACTGAGCATTTCCTTAAGTTAATATGTGCTCAAAAAGCTACACACAGCATGGCAATGATTGTGATTGGCAATCTCCTTCTAACAAAACACACATCTATTAAAATCAATATAATCTGGATATTTAATCAACTTGAAGTCTCTTATTTGAAAGAAATTCAAAGAAAGCTTGAAGCGTGAGAAAATGCTCCTACTTAAGTCAGGCAGATGCATCACATTTTCAAAATAATTCAGTTACAGAAGGGCACTGAGAAGTTCTGGAATATAGGATGCCCTGTTCAATGAGATATTGAACAATATAATGATAGTCCAACAGTTAATGTTATAATCATAGTATTTCAGAATTTGGAGGGAAAGGAGTCTTTAGAAATGATTTCATGAAATTTCTTTATTTTTATCATAAATAATACATTGTGAAAGGTGAAACCCTATTGAGGGGACATACAGTTGAAATTTAAATGATACTTTAGGAATTTCACATTTGGTTCCTATCATTATTACTTTAATCTTGGAGTTTAGTATCAAAATTTAAAACATTTGGTCATCTCTGAGAACTAAACTAAACATTAGTCAATTTTGAGCCCTCCTCAGAAGTACCTCCTTATCTCTTAAGGGCTTCTCTGGTCATCAAGGATCAGAAGCTAAGAACAACGACTTTCTAATGTAGATTTCAATAGACTGAATGTTTATCTCCCTGAAATTCATAGGTTGAAACCTAACCCCAATGTGGTAGTGCTAGAAAGCTGGAATTTCTGGAGGTCACTAGGTCATGAGAGTGGTACTTTATGAAAGATATTAGTGCCCTTGTAAAAGAGATCCCAGAGAACTCCCTCATCCCTTCTGCCATATAAGAGATAGCAGGAAGATGGCCATCTATGAACCAGAGGGCATGTTCTCACCAGACACTGAATTTATTGTGCCTTGATCTGAGGCTTCTCAGCCTCCAGAACTGTGAGAAATAAATTTCTGTTATTTATAAGCTAGCCACTCTATAGTGTTTCTGTTATAGCAACCTGAGTAGAAGAAGACAGAGTAGACCAACTTTTTCTGTAAAGAACCAGATAATATATTAATATCTTAAGCTTTGGGGGCTATATGGTCTCAATTACAACTATCTGACTCTGCTGCTGTAGTGTAAAAGAAGTCACAGACCAAACATAAATGAATGGGTGTGGCTGTGTGTTCCAACTAACTTTTTTTATTATAGACACTGAAACTGGAATTTCATATCATTTTTATGTGACAATCTTCTTTTGATTTTCCTTCAACTATGCTTAGTTTGCAGGCCATATAAAAACAGGCAGTGTGCTAGATTTGGTTCACAGGTCACA